CGCCGGCCTTGCAGCTCCACTGCCGAGCCCCATGAGGGGCCCGGTGGTGGACCTGCAAGGCCGGCGGGAGTGCGAGGAAGCCCCACCAAGGCCCTCCCTGGCCCCAGGCAGGCAGGGGTGGGGAGAGGCAGGGAGGAAGCAACTTACCCTCCCTCTTCTCCTGCCTCCTCCTAGCTGAATGAGGGCCGGAAGCGGGGTGGCCGGAAGCAGGGGGCGGGGCTTCGTCATGTGCCCCGCCCCCGTACCTCACCCGGGGGAACTGCAATCCCTCGCGATCCCCCCCAAAATGACCTCTGGTCCTGCATGTAAGTGTGCCCCCCCCCATGTCCTCATTCGGCTGTCTTGGGAAACGCAGGGTCGCTGCCCCGCGAGGTTTGCCGTCTGCTAACGGCATTTTTTTTGGAAATGCAGGACATCAGCCTGAAGCTGGCCTTCATCCAGAGCATGACGGACATCAGCCACGCCCTCCACGAGACCCGGGATGGCCAGGGCTTCCAGTTAACCTGCAAAAAGGAGCTCCTCGGGGTCCTGCTGGTGAGTCAGGCTCCCGGGGCTCTGTGCACAGCCAGCCTCTGCTGCACGTTTACGGAGAACCCATGGTCTTCCTGAGCATCATGAGCACGTGGACCTTCAGGTCCCATTAATATGAAGAGTGTCTCCACCCGAGGGGAGGGTTGCCAAGCTCTAGGTGGGTATGGGAACTTGAGCCGCAGTGTTAGAAGAGTCAGACAACAAATATATACACTGCAAAAACCTTATTTATAAGTTAAAGTGTTCTATATGTTCCATCTTATAAAGTGCATTGTGTATTACTCATAATATTCTCAGACAGGTATATATTCATTACATGCAATATTAACAATAATAATCAGTTTGTACAATCTAATAGCTACCAGTCCATTTACATCCTTTTTACACAGTCAACCCCAACGGGAGTTTCGAGAATTGTACACCTCGCTTCTCCTTGCTTGAAGGTCTTCTAAAGGGGGAAGTTTCCTTTTGTGGTTACACTGAAGTTTAAATTGATGTTTGTTGCTGGTCCTACAAAAGGCTGTTGAAAGACATAATTCATGAGTCTAAAAATTATATATCTAATATAACTTGGCTTCATGTAGTTTTCTTACCCCATTAAGCAGCTGACAATGATAGATGGAGCGCAACTGTCTTTACTAGGCAGCCTTGAGAAAGACAGGAGTGCGCCATCTATGATTGTCAGCTGCTTAATGGGGTAAGAAAACTACATGAAGCCGAGTTATATTAGATATATTATATAATTTTTAGACTCATGAATTATGTCTTTTAACAGCCTTTTGTAGGACCAGCAACAAACATCAATTTAAACTTCCATGTAACCACAAAAGGCAACTTCCCCTTTTGGAAGACCTTCAAGCAAGGAGAAGCCGGTGTACAATTCTAGAAACTCCCGTTGGGGTTGACTGTGTAAAAAGGATGTAAATTGACTGGTAGCTATTAGATTGTACAAACTGGTTATTATTGTTGATATTGCATGTAATGAATATATACCTGTTTTCAGGGGTCATTTCATAGAAAAAGAGCTGCAGGAGCTCATTAGCATAACTCATTAGCATAAGTTATTTGCAAATGCCACACCCCCTGACATCACCGGAAGTGGGTCAGAAGGCAACACCCACCGCTCAGGCTCCACTGGACTGTTTTTGATTGCTAGCTATTGGGGAGTGTGTGCAGATCTCTCCTCGCAGAGGAGGGAGAGCTTGTACCTGAATAAAACTTGGTCTTAAAGGTGCCACAGGACTGTTTTGGACTTGTTGGCTCTGCAACTTACCTGGCTGCCTCTTGCTCTGACTGAGGGCTGCTGGGAGCAGGGGGCAGGGCTTTGTTGCATGTGCCCACCCCGTGGACTCTTAACTGCCGGAGCTCCGCTCCTGTGCGCTCCTGCAGGAAATGACCCCTGCCTGTTTGAGAATATTATGAGTAATACACAATGCACTTTATAAGATGGAACATATAGAACACTTTAACTTATAAATAAGGTTTTTGCAATGTATATATTTGCTGTTTAATCCTCCAGGTGGGGGCTGGAGACCTGCTGTTACAGCTGGTCTCCAGAGAACCGAGATCAGTTCCCCTGGAGAAAATGGCTGCTGTGGCGGGCGAACTGTATCATACCCTGCTGAGTGTTAGATTCTCTGGTTTGGTGTAGCCAGCAATCATTGTAGGGTTGCCAACTCCGAGTGGGGAAATTCCTGGAGATTTAGGGGTGGAACCTGGAGAGGGCAGGGTTTGGGGAGGGGAGAGACCTCAGCAGAGTATAATGCCATACAATCCGCCCTCTAAAGCAGCCGTTTCTTCCAAGGGGACTGATCTCTGTAGTCCGGAGATGAACTCTAATTCCGGGAGATTCCACACCTGGAAGCCAGCTACTCTATCAGTGACTCCTTCTTTCCCCAAATGTCTGCTCACCCTTTCAGGATTTCATCCGGGAAGAGCCCTTGGATGCTCTAACGACTCCAATTCGCCCCAAGGCCATCCTCGCCCTCGGATGTCTGAGGTAGGCTTTTTTTCCTGATCCACTGGTCCTGCAGTTCTGCATGGCAAGAGCCTTTCTTTCATTTTCATGACATCTTCGGGACCCCAGCTTTCCACCCAAGGAGCTCGAGGGGCTTCGACTGAGGGGTAGATCCTCTGCCGGTTAGGATGTCCTCTGATGGTAAGGATGTTCATTTGAGGAAAGGGAGAGGTACACCTCTCCCTGGAAAGGGGCCGTGGCTCAGGGGCAGATCATCTGCTTGGCATGCAGAAGGTCCCAGGTTCAACCCTCAGCATCTCTAGTTAAAAGGATGAGGCAGTCGTTGATGGGGAAGACTGGCCTTGATAGACCAATGATCTGGCTTAGTATAAGCAGCTTCCTGTGTCCGTATTTATTAGGGAGGGGCTGTGGCTCAGGGGAAGAGCCTCTGCTTGGCATGCAGAAGGTCCCAGGTTCAATCCCCGGCATCTCCAGTTAAAAAGGACCAGGCAGGAGGTGATGGGAAAGACCTCTGCCCGGGACCCTGGAGTGCGGCTGCCAGTCTGAGTAGAGAGCACTGACCTTGATGGACCCAGGGTCTGATTCAGTAGAAGGCAGCTTCATGTGTGTTCGTGTGCTTGGCTTTGGTTCATGAGGGCCTCAAATGGTTTCCTGACAGAAACACTAGATTCGAGTGACAGAAACACTAGGTTTGAGTCCAGTGGCCACTGTGTGAGGCAGCATGCTGGTCTAGACGGACCACTGATCCAGCAGGGGTGGGTGGTCTGATCCAGCAGGGCTCTTCTAATGTTCTTATGAAGGCCTCGGCCTCTCTACCCTGTTGTTGGCTCTCCAGTGGAACTGCCTGGCCACTGTGTGAGGCAGGATGCTGGACTGGATGGATGACTGGTCTGATCCAGCAGGGCTCTTCTGATCTTCTTATGAAAGCCTTGGCCTCTGTGCCCTGTTGTTGGCCCTCCAGAGGTTGTCCCCTGTGTGAGGCAGGATGCTGGACTAGATGGAGTATTGGTCAGATCCAACAGGGCTCTTCTGATATTCTTACAAAGGCCTCGGCCTCTCTGCCCTGTTGTTGGCCCTCCAGAGGAACTGGTTGTCCCCTGTGTGAGGCAGGATGCTGGACTAGATGGAGTATTGGTCAGATCCAACAGGGCTCTTCTGATATTCTTACAAAGGCCTCGGCCTCTCTGCCCTGTTGTTGGCCCTCCAGAGGAACTGGTTGGCCACTGTGTGAGACAGGAGGCTGGACTCAATGGACCCTCACTGGTCTGATCCAGCAGGGCTCTTCTGATGTTCTTATGAAGGCCTCAGCCTATCGGCCCTGTTGTTCACTCTCCAGAGGACCTGGTTGGCCACTGTGTGAGACAGGATGCTTGATTGGATAGATTTTTGATCTCTTCTTATGTTCTTATTACTCTACAGCTAGCCAGTTTTGTGTAGTGGTTAAGTGTGCTGGATGAGATGGACTATTGGTCTGATCCAGCAGGGCTCTTCTTATGTTCTTATCAGGGGAAGGCCTCGGCATTTATGGTGCTATTGAGTCTCCAGAGGAACTGGTTGGCCTCTTTGTGAGACAGGATGCTGGTCTAGATGGACCCCTGGTCTGATCCTGCAGGGCTCTTCTGATGCTGTCATGAAGGCCTCGGCCTCCGTGCCCTGTTGTTGGCCCTCCAGAGGAACTGGCTAGACACTGTGTGAGACAGGATACTGGACTAGATGGACCCTCCCGCAGGGCTCTTCTTATATTCTTATTTCTACCCAGCAAAAACTGACATTTTCTCCAGGGAAACTGATCTTTGTTGTCTGGAGTTGAGTTGAAATCCAGGCTCCACCTGGAGGTTGGTAACCCTAGGGCTGACAGCGATGACGCTCAGCCCACCCGAGCAGCTCTTTGGGGCAGCACAAGGAAGAGGGTCCTGATCCTCAGCTCACTTCCAGCCACCGGTGAGGCAGAAGGTGAAGAACCTCTGCCCCTGGACCCTCACCTGCTGGACGTCATAATGTTGTCTCAGGGCTCCACGTAGACCTGGCCGGAGGTGGTACAAGAACCGGCGATGTCTGTGCCTTGCTTGGGGCAACAAAGTACCCAGAACCAGCCCCGATGACTCTAAAATGTGGTCCTTCCATCCATCTTCCTCCTTCCAGCAAACTGAAGCCGTGTTTGAGCTTGGACGACCATCGGGACCTCCTCGACCAAAGCATCAAGAGCCTGTTTCCTCTTCCTCCCTTGGAGCAGCTGAAAGGGGGGATGGGAAAGGACTCTGAATACACAGAGGTATGGGGGTTCTTCGAGGTCATCTTTTGTGACCTGCTTGTAGACTTCCCAGAAGGGTCTGTTCAGTGGAGATGGGTCAAGACGAGTAGTCATGTTAGTCTGTCTGTAGCAGTAGAAGAGAACAAGGGTCCAGGAGCACCTTAAAGCAGGCCCATAGCTACAGCGGGGGGATCTTGGGGCTAGGCCCCCTGACTTACTAGGCCCCCTGACTTCCCTTCCACTCCCGAGCAGCAGCACGTGTGGGGAAGGAGCCAGATATTTCTTTAATTCGATTAGCCAGTGCCCACCCTAAGAAATGTAAATCACCCCAACTTTAAAGATCCTGGCTATGGGCCAGTCTTAAAGACTAACAATGGCCCCGGTCACACGGGCCGGATAATGCGGGGGGGATGGAGGCGGGGGTATTTGCGCCGCCACAATTAGAGCTGCCAGAAGGTGATCCCACGCATCGGCGGCACGCCACAGTTCCTTCCCGCCTCACCTGCGTGTCAACGAGGGGCCAGAGGGAAAAGCCGCGCACCGGCGCGATCGCACCAAGGGAGTCTGGAGGCAGCCCGTGGCAAACTGTTTGCTAGAAGCTTCGATGAGGTAGCTTTTTCCATTGTGCATTTTAGGTGGTACGCCACGGGTTGGCCACAGGTGCGCTCCACTTGCCAGACGTTGCGGTGTGATCGCACCCGGAAAATCTGCCATTCTATCGTGGCTCTCCCGTGGCAAATTCAGCATGTGAACGGGGCCAATATTTGTGGAAGGATAAGAGCTTTCATGAGTCACGGCTCACTTCAGTGGGGTACTGAATAGGAGTGTGCAAAAAAAAAAATTCGGCCCATTCGGATTCCGCCGAATTGGGTAGAATCAATTTCGTCTGGCAGTAAGACTCCCACATGTCAGTTTCGTCAGTACCAGCCGATTAGGGAGTGTTTCGGCCAGCCGAATGCCAATTTCAGCCCCATTATATCCTATGGGCCATTGAAGTCAATGGCGAAAACATAGTGTATATTCTGGGGGCTGGAGGGGAGGGGGTTTGAGGAAGGGGTTCTAAACTGGCAGGGTAGCTGCTGGAGCCTCTCCCCAAGATACCAACCATATTTGAAGAACATTGGACCAGGGGGTCCAATTCTACTGTTACTTTTTCCTCCACCATAGAGAACAATGGAGGGGATAGGGGCAACCTGTTTGGGGGGCCCTAGAATTGGACCCCCTGGTCCAATGTTCTTCAAATATGGTTGGTATCTTGGGGAGAGGCTCCAGCAACTTCCCTGCAAGTTTGGAACCTCTCCCTCAAACCCCCTCCCCTTCAGCCCCCAGAATATACCCTATGTTTTCACCATTGACTTCAATGGCCCATAGGATATAATGGGGCTGAAATTGACATTCGGCTGGCCAAAAGACCTCCTACTGACGAAACTGACATGTAGGAGTCTTACTGCCAGCCGAAATTGATTCTGCCCGATTCGGCCGAATCCGAATGGGCCGAATATATTTTTTTTTTTGCACACTCCTATCCAGTTCCCCACTGAAGAAGTGAGCCGTGACAAACGAAAGCTCTTACCCTTCCACAAATTCGGTGGCAATTCGGCAGCAAGCCAATTCAGATCAGAGAATCTGAATCAGCCTGCAGTGGCCCAAAAGGGGTCCGAATGGGCCATTTTCAGGGGTGCATTCGGTTCAGATGAACCGAATGCACATCCCTAGTACTGGAATAGTTGGGCCTTCACCTGGTGATCTAGCGAGGTCTTTCTGATGGGCTCTCTTAACTCGTGGTTACATTTCTTAGCACTGACCTGGGTGTGTTGGGCTAGCCCAATCTCATCAGATCTCAGAAGCTAAGCAGGGTCGGCCCTGGTTAGTATTTGGATGGGAGACCAGCAAGGAAGTTCAGGGCAGGCAATGGCAAAAACCTCCTCCAAACGTCCCTTGCCCTGAAAACCTGTCGGGTTGCCGTAAGTCGGCTGCGACTTGATGGCATTTTTTCCCCTCCTCTTAGTTCCTACATTTTGCCAGTTTGGTGTAGTGGTTAGGTGTGCGGACTCTAATCTGGGAGAACCGGGTTTGATTCCCCACGCCTCCACTCGCAGCTGCTGATGTGACCTTAGGCCAGCCGTAGTTCTGACAAGAGCTGTTCTCTCAAGGGCAGTCCTCGAAAGAGCTCTCTCAGCCCCGCCTACCTCACAAGGCGTCCGTTCTGGGGAGGGGAGGGAAAGGGAAAGGAGTTTGTAAGCCGCTCTGAGACTCCGAGTGAAGGGCAGGGGTATACATCCAGTCTCTTCTTCTTCTCTTCTTCTTCTCTTCATATAAGTCATCTTTTCACATCTGACCTTCTGCTCAGTCTCTGGATGACTATTCCTATCTTTCTCTGCCGATCTCTGGAATGTCTGACTGTTATCTGAAAACAAACACTGGCTGCAGGCGGAATGTGTCATCTCTGTACCTATTTCCTTGAGGGCCAGCACAGCGTTTTTCTGGCACTCGCAGCAGAAGACAGAAATAATGATATTGTCCCTAGCAGGGGTTCGGCTACCAAATAAGTTACCCAGACAAGGTTGTGAGTAGGGGCAAGGGGCGGAGATCGGGTTGTCTGCTATTATTCTATCAAAGCCAGAGAGATTGTAGTCTCAGAGACAAGTGAGAATAATGCCGCAAACCCCCTCAGCTGTCTTCTGACTTTATAAAAAAAAATCAGTTAAATGGGTGGTAAAGAGTTGATCCAAGCTGGGGAGAAAGGAGGAGGGGGAGATTGGATTTATACCCCGCCCGTCTCAGAGCAGCTCACAGTCTCCTTTCCCTCCCCCTCCCCAGAACAGACACCCTGTGAGGTAGGTGGGGCTGAGAGAGCTCTCTCGAGGACTGCCCTTGAGAGAACAGCTCAGAGAGGACTTCTGACTGACCCAAGGTCACACCAGCAGCTGCATGTGGAGGAGTGGGGAATCAGACCTGGTGCCCCCACATTAGAATCCAGTGCTCTCAACCACTACACCAAACTGGCTCTGTTTATGTCTTTCCTAAAAAAGAAGGAGATTGGATTTATACCCCGCCCTTCACTACCCAAAGGAGTCTCAGAGTGGCTTACAAACTCCTCTCCCTTCCCCTCCCCACAGCAGACACCCTCTGTGAGGTAGGTGGGGCTGAGAGAGCTCTTTCAAGGACTGCTCCTGAGAGAACAGCTCTGACAGAACTGTGGCTTGCCCAAGGTCATCCAGCCAGGTGCAAGTGGAGGAGTGGGGAATCAGACCTGGTGCCCCCACATTAGAATCCAGTGCTCTCAACCACTACACCAAACTGGCTCTGTTTATGTCTTTCCTAAAAAAGAAGGAGATTGGATTTATACCCCGCCCTTCACTACCCAAAGGAGTCTCAGAGTGGCTTACAAACTCCTCTCCCTTCCCCTCCCCACAGCAGACACCCTCTGTGAGGTAGGTGGGGCTGAGAGAGCTCTTTCAAGGACTGCTCCTGAGAGAACAGCTCTGACAGAACTGTGGCTTGCCCAAGGTCATCCAGCCAGGTGCAAGTGGAGGAGTGGGGAATCAAACGTGGTTCTCCCAGATTAGAGTCTGCGCACTGAACCACGACACCAAACAAGGCCTTAGGAGGTGTTCAGGTGTTTCCTAAAGGCCATTTTCGAATCCGTATGCTGTCGTGCAGGGGTCCCCAACGTGGTGCCCGTGGGCAAACCCTTTTCTGGCAAAGTGTTTTTTAGGAAGTGGGTGGGGCCAGGTGGGGCTCCCGCCCAGTAGGGTCGCCCCCCCCCCCGTTTCCAGTTCTCTTCTCCGTCACCAGCCAGTTGGCTGCGCGGGTGCGGACGTCCTCTTCCCCAGGAGGCAAGAAAGTGGAAATAAATGTGACATGCCTACGTCACCCAGAAGTAACTTGGGCAGGAATTATTTCCTGCAGGAGCGCACAGGAGCAGAGCTCCGGCAGTAAAGAGCCCAGGGGGCGGGCACATGCAACAAGCCCCACCCCCTGCTCTCAGCAGCCCTCAGTCAGAGCAAGAAGCAGCCAGGTAAATTGCAGAGCCCCCCCCCCGCCCCTGGCCCAAAACAGTCCAGTGGCACCTTGAAGACCAAGTTTTATTCAGGTACAAGCTCTCCCTCCTCTGTGAGGACAGATCTGCAAGTCCCCCCCTCCCCCAATAGCTAGCAATCCAAAACAGTCCGGTGGAGCCTGAGCAGTGGGTGTTGCCTTCTGACATACTTCGGGTGAGGTCAGGGGGTGTGGCATATGCAAATAAGTTATGCTAATGAGCCCCTGCACCTCTTTTTCTACGAAATGACCCCTGGACTTGGGTATGTCTGTGACTTCAGGGGGGCAAACCCTATTTCATTTGCTGGGTTGTGGTTTCCAGTCCCTGTACGATGATTCCGTAGAGGCCCTCGGGGAACTCATGAAGGCCATCCTGGAGGAAGAGCCAACATCTGAGCTGGTGGACGAAATGTTCCAGGTGAGTCGCTGGGGCAGCCAGGAGGAAATCCATTGAAACATAGAAACATGGAGCTGGAAGGGATCCTGAGGGTCATCTAGTCCGAACCCCCCCCCCCCGGGCACAGACGCGGGCATATATAAACACACATGCCCCTGTATAAATCGATGGTACGTCCTCATTCGGAGTACTGTGTACAGTTCTGGTCACGACATCTCAAAAAGGATATTATAGCACTGGGAAGAGTGCAGAAAAGGGCAACTCGAATGGTCAAAGGGTTGGAACACTTTCCCTATGAAGAAAGGCGAAAGCGCTTGGGGCTCTTTTGCTTGGAGACATGACGGCTGAGGGGTGACATGATCGAGGTTTATAAGATCATGCATAGGATAGAGCAGGTCGAGAAAGAAATACTTTTCTCCCTTTCTCACAATACAAGAACTCAAGTGGGCACTCCATGAAATTGCTGAGCGGTTGGGTTAGAACAGATAAAAGGCGTCCTTCACCCAAAGAGAGATTAACACAGGGAGTTCACTGCCACAGGAGGTGGCGGCGGCTACAAGCATGGACGGCTTCAAGAGGGAACTAGATAAGCATATGGAGCAGAAGTCCATCAGTGGCTCTTAGTCACAAGGTATAGATAGGGACTCTCAGTCTGGGGTAAGGGATGCTCTGTCTTCTTGGTGCTTTGGGGGGGGCAACAGTGGGAGGGGGCTTCTGGTTTCCTGGCTCCACTGCTGGACCTCCTGATGGCACCTGGTATTTCTGGCCAGTGTGTGACTGGATGGGCCACTGGCCTGATCCAACATGGGCTTCTCTTCTGTTCTTCTGTTCTTAGCTACTTCCTCTGCTCCATGCCCGGAGGAAGGCAAAAAAAACCCTCCAGGATCCCTGGGCCAATCTAGCTTGGAGGAAGATTCCTTCCTGGCCCCAGAGTGGTGATTGGCATTACCCTGGGCATGCAGCAACAGGCCACGAGATCCAAGCACCGACTTGGTCCTTCCTGCCCCCCCTCTCGCGATTTGCCTACGTTCACAGAATCCGCATTGCTGTCAGATGACCATCTAGCCTTTTCTTGAAAACCTCCGATGAAGGAGAGCCCACCACCTCCCGAGAAAGCCTGTTCCACTGGGGAACCGCGCTAATCGCCAGGAACTTCTTCCTAATGTTTAGCCAAAAACTCTTTTTGGCCCCAGTCACACGGGCCAGATAATGCGGGGGGGGGGGGGGAAGGGTGGGCCAAAATAAAGCGCAGTAGCCCGATCACATGGTCCCCCGAGACTCCGTGCTTAGGCTGTTAGCTGGCGATCACACGGCGATGCTGCAGCGTGGCAAAGAAGCGGCGCGGCGCGATCACACAAGCGTTTTGCGTTTGTGCGCATGCGCAGTTCCGCAGAGCAGCACTGCTTTCAGTTTCGTGTTTGTGCGCATGCGCTTACGAAAAACATCCGGTTTGCGACGGGACATGGGCGGGCGCCAGATGCCGCGGGATACTAGCGCTCCCGCGATCAGACGCCCACCTGTGCCGCGCGTTTTCCGGATACCAGTGCACTTTCCTTGGTACTTTTTAACTCCGCATCTTCGGCAGGACGCCACGGGTTGGCCACGGGTGCGCTACGCTTCCCAGATGTCGCGGTGTGATCGCGCCCCGAAAATCCGCCCGACATCCATGCCTTTCGCACGGCAAATTCTCCGTGTGACCGGGAACTTCGTTTAATTTGTTGGTTCTGATTCAACTTTCTGGGGCAACAGAAAACAGCTCCGCTCCATCTTCTGTAACGACAGCCCTTCCAGTACCGGAAGATGGCTTATCCAATCACCTCCGTTTGTTAATTTTAAATAGATTGGAAGAGTGAGAAACTGCTAGGTGGGCTCAGACCACATCCTTTCGCTGTCGGGTCACAGTTTGCTGCACGGAGTCGGAGGATGGAAGGTTCCTTCTTCCCCATCCAGCTCTATGGGGGGACATGGCAGAGGGTTATAAAAATGGGATGGAGAGAACTGACAAAGGGAACTTTTTCTCCCGCTCCCCAAAGAGTAAATTTGAGGACATCCAGTGAAGCTGACGGGCAGAAGGTTCAGGACAGACAAAAGGAAATACTTCTGTACGCAGAGGGTGATTAAAATGTGGGACTTGCTGCCTGAGGACGTGGTGATGGTCGCAGGAATAAACAGCTTTAAAAGGGGATTAGATCCATTCCCACTGAACTGGAAGTGCCATCTTTTTATTGAAGACTGATCTGAAACTTCTAGAGCACTGTTGTAATATTGTAAACGACTGCTTGTATGCTGTTTGTAGCCTGTTTTATGTATTGGCATGTGCCCTATTTGTGAGCCGCCCTGAGCCCGCTTGCGGGGAAGGCAGGCTATAAATCAAAATAATAAATAAATAAATAACATAAATGCATGGAGGATAAGTCTATCGAAGGCTACTAGCCCTGGTGACTGAGGGGAACCTCCACATAGGGTTGCCAAGTCTGATTTTCGGTGCAGCGGGGGACTCCCGGCTGGCGGCTGGAGTGTGCGTGCCGCATCCACGTCACTAGGAAGTGACACGACCACGCTGGGCACACTGGGGGCAGGGCCACGACCATCCGAGGGGAAACCATAGAGTTTTCCCTCAGATGACTGTGGCCCCGTGCCCAGCGTACCCGGCGTGGTCACGTCACTTCCGGGTGACATGCACGTCGGCGTGGGGTTCTCCCCGGGGCCCGATCCGCCGGCGGCGGGGAACGGGCCTCTGGGGCAGCGGTTTCCCCGTCCCCCGGGGGGACTTGGCAAGCCTACCGCCACATTCAGAGGCACTAAGCCTCTGAATCCCAGAGCCAGGTGGCAACATCAGGGGAAGGCCTTGGCCTCTCTGCCCTGTTGTTGGCCATCCATAGGGACTGGTTGGCCACTGTGTGAGACAGGATGATGGACTAGATGGACCCTCACTGGTCTCATCCAGCTCTTCTGATGTTCTCTTATGAAAGCCTTGGCCTCTCTGCTCTGTTGTTGGACTTCCAGAGAAACTGGTTGGCCTCTCTGTGAGACAGGATCCTGGCCTAGATGGACCACTGGTCTGATCCAGCAGGACTCTTCTGATGTTCTAATGAAGGTCTCTGCCTCTTTGCCTGTTGTTGGACCTCCAGAGAAACTGGTTGGCTTCTCTGAGATAGCATCCTGGCCTAGATGGACCACTGGTCTCATCCAGCAGGGCTCTTCTGATGTTCTCATGAAGTCCTCGGACTCTCTGCCCCATTGTTGACCCTCCAGAGGAACTGGTTGGCCATGGCGTGAGACAGGATCCTGGCCTAGATGGACCACTGGTCTGATCCAGCAGGGCTCTTCTTATGTTCTAATGAAGGCCTCAGCCTCTATGCCCCGTTGTTGGCCCTCCAGAGGCACTGGTTGGCCGCTCTGTGAGACAGGATGCTGGACTAGATGGACCCTCACTGGTCTGATCCAGCAGGGCTCTTCTGATGGTCTTATGAAGGCCTCAGGCTCTCTGCCCTGTTGGCCCTCAAGAGGAACTGGTTGGCCACCGTGTGAGACAGGAAGCTGGACTAGATGGACCCCCACTGGACTGATCCAGCAGGGCTCTTCTGATGTTCTTATGGTTTTCATCAGCATACCTTGAGGTGGGGGTATCTGCCAGGGCTCAGAGATTTTGTCAGGGCCCACTCACCCCAACCCCTACCTGCACAACTGCTCTACCACATATCAGTACACCCTTTCCTCACCCACTCACTCGCCTGCACTCCACCTCCTGTGTTCCTGGCTCCCTGGGCTGCCCCGCGCCACCAGGGTAGCATGCGGGTGCTGCAAGCAGTGCTCTTTATGGCCACAGCAGTGGCGCTCCCAGCAGTACATGCCACCCGCCACCTGGTGTCTTTAAGGAAAGGGCACAGTGTGGCTGTGAGCATGGGAGAGGGGAGGGGGTCGTGAGCAGGCAGGGGAAGGATACCCAGGGGGATGTGGGATGCGTGGGTGGGGGCAGAAAGGGAGGTGTGAGTCGGGGACCTGGTGGTGGGCAGGGGTGGGGTACAGGGGAGTCCGGAGCACTCTTTGACCAATGGACTGATTCAGTCTCTGTGTTCTTGCATGCGTTCACTCACGTCCTCGCATCATCAACAGCTCATCGACCCCTGGTTTACTGAAACCGAATGCAGCCGAGAACGAGCTTTGCACGCCAGCTTTCAGCTGCTCGCCGCTTTTCGAGGAAGCATCCAAGTCGGCGTTCCGGTGAGCGGACCGCTTTTCTGCTCTTCGTTGTGTGTCTTCCCCTTCCCCCACGCATCCATCTTTCGGACTGAGAAGTGCTCAAATCCCACTGGAACATATGAAGATAATCTCAGAGGGCCTACTGTGGAACAGCTAGATTCGAACCCAGGAGCACCTCAGAGACCGACACGATTTTGGGGGGTTGAGCTTTCGGGAACCAAAGGTCCCCTGGTCAGATTTCTGGCAAAAGGAGCGTTGACTCTCAGAACGTAAGAGAAGCCAGTGTCGGATCAGGCCAATGGCCCATCCAGTCCAACACTCTGTGTCACACAGTGCCCACAAATACCAGGTGCCATCAGGAGGTCCACCAGTGGGGCTGGGACACTAGAAGCCCCCTCCCACTGTTGCCACCCCCCTCCCAAGCACCAAGAAGACAGAACATCCCTTGCCCCAGACCGAGACTTCCTATCTATAAAAAGTAAAGGTAAAGGTTCCCTTGCTCGAAAGCCAGTCGAATCCGACTCAAGGGTTGCGGTGCTCATCTCCGTTTCAAAGCCAAAGAGCCGGTGCTGTCCAAAGACTTCTCCGTGGTCATGTGGCCGGCATGATTAAACACCAAGGCGCACGGAACGCTGTTACCTTCCCACCGAAGTGGTACCTATTTATCTACTTGCAATTTCTTGCTTTCGAACTGCTAGGTTGGCAGGAGCTGGAACTAGAGATGGGAGCTCACTCCATCATGCAGCACACTCGGGTCTCGAACTGCTGAACTACTGACCTTCCACAGCCTGCAGTTCAGCGTCTTAACCACTTGAGCCACCGCAGCTATCTATACCTTGTGGGTAATAGCCCTGAAAATCTGGTGGGTTTCTAAGGTGCTCCTGGGTTCAAATCTATCTGGAACATATGAAGAATTCTTGCAAGGCTTCATCAAGCGATGCTTCAAAACTTCTCCAATTTTTTTACAAGATACCTGCCCTTGTTTCTGTTGGGGAAATTAGGTGTGCAGGAAGCTTTTCATGCAGTCCCATACCCACTGTGTTCGTTTTGGGGAGGGAGAGAAGCCGGCTTCCCGATTGCATTGAGAGAGAGAGAGAGAGAGAGAGAGAGAGAGAGAGAGAGAGAGAGAGAGAGTTTTTCTAAACCAAAACTCAGTTTATTCTATTGCACACTCTTAGCACACTCTTAATACACTCTATTGCACACTCTTAACTCAGAGAACACTTTTGTGGCATTTCAATATTCAGCATAGGATATTTCAACGCAAACCCAAATACATAAATAGTGCACTTGAAGTTCTAGAAAGGATATCCTCAGTTGCTCTGTCAAGACCCATAATGGAGGGTGGTCGGCCAGAACAACCAGGAACAAAACTAAATCCAGATGTTACGTACCCTTTTCCAACCCTGAGAGTTAATGTAACTGTCAGTCAACTCTGTGACGAGCATCTGACATTCATCTCTGACCTGCATGACAAAGCTCAGCTCATTCTTTCTATGTCTGGGGTCAGGACGGTCAAGGAAAGCTGAGTTAAGCGAGGTTGACTCCGAGAGTCAAGGAAGCTAGTTACAGATACTCTGGGCGGTTCTGCATCTAGTATTCGCTTCACGTTTTCTCAACTGGGAGGGGAAAGTGCAACTCAAAAACTCCTGAGCGGCCATAAATCTATGCAGAAGGTACCATAAAACCTGATGCTCAAAGAGAGCGAAAGCGGCATGCAGTGTGGAGGGTACCATAAAACCCGATGATCAAAGAAAGTGAAAGCAGCATGCAATGCGGAGGGGGATTTCCGTTCCAACACGGGTTTTGTAAAACAACGGAGGGAAAAGCCATTGTAGAATTGCCCTGTATCTATTTAGAATTTGATAGTGATTCCTGAATTCTGCAATGTATAAACATTCCCAGAAGGCAAAAGTCAAGTGAGGTGAAAACCACGTACAGGGTTATCTGTACCCGAAGGCCACAGCACTTAGCAGAGTCCTGAAGAGGAGAAAGGCCGAGGCCTTCATTAGAACTTAAGAAGAGCCCTGCTGGATCAGACCCGTGGTCCAACTAGTCCAGCATCCTGTCTCACACAGAGACCAACCAGCTCCTCTGGAGGGCCAACACCAGGGCATACTTCCAGAGGAAGTAGTCGGCCACTGTGTGAGACAGGATGCTGGACTAGATGGACCCTCACTGGTCTGATCCAGCAGGGCTCTCCTGATGTTCTTATGAAGGCCTCGGCCTCTCTGTCCTGTTGTTGGTCCTCCAGAGGGACTGGTTGGCCACTGTGTGAGACAGAATGCTGGTCTAGATGGATCACTGGCCTGATCCAGCAGGGCTCTTCTGATGTTTGTATGAAGGCCTTGGCCTCTCTGCCCTGTTGTTGGCCATCAGAGGAACTGGTTGGCTAGTGTGTGAGGCAGGATGCTGGACTAGATGGACCCCTGGTCTGGTCCAGCAGGGCTCTTCTGATTTTCTTTTGAAGGCCTCGGCCTCTCTGCCCTGTGGTTGGCCCTCCAGAGGAACTGGCTGGCCCCTGTGTGAGACAGGATGCTGGGCTGGATGGACTATTGGTCTGATCCAGCAGGGCTCTTCTGATGTTCTAATGAAGGAGGAAGTAGTCGAACACTGTGTGAGACAGGATGCTGGACTAGATGGATGTTCACTGGTCTGATCCAGCAGGGCTCTTCTTAGGTTCTTATGACTTCTGAATGTGTGTTTAAATCAACACCAAAAGCTAAAAATTGCCTCATTTGACCAAAATCTCAGGCAGCTCCAAATGGCCGGAGCAGTTGCGTCCCAAATGCCCAACAAAGGCATCTACATTCTTGCAATAAAGATTCCCTTTCTTTTTCTTTATAGAGTGGGGAAGATTTTCAACAGTTTGCGTCCCTGGTGGCCCTGCTTGCTCCATTCACCTGCGATTCTTCCAGCCGGTGTCGGCAGTGGGCGGGCAAATGCATCACCTGCCTTATTCACATACAAGGTGAGGAAAGAGCCAGAGGTATTGTGAGCTGGCGACCAAGAGGCCCTGCGAGGAAAGGCTGAGGGGACTTGGGAAGGTTCAGTCTGGAGAAGAGGAGGCTGAGGGGGGACACGGTGGCTCTCTTAAAGTATCTGAAGGGCTGTCCCTTAGAGGAGGGCAGGGAGCTGTTCCTGTGGGCAGCAGAGTAGAGGACTCGCAAGAATGGGTTTGAATTAAGGGTGGGAAGGTCCCGGCTGGATCTTACGAAAGACGTTTTGACAGTCAGAGTTGTGCCACAGTGGAATCGGCTGCCCGGGAAGGTGGCGAACAGAATAAAGCGCGGTGGCCCGATCACACGGTCCTCCAAGTCTCCACACTTAGGCTGTTAGCTGGTGACCACGCGGCGATGCTGGAGCGTGGCAAAGAAGCGGCACGGCAAGCGTTTCCGTTTGTGCGCATGCGCAGTTCTGTGGAGCAGCACTGCTTTCAGTTACGTGTTTGTGCGCATGTGTTTACGAAAAACCTCCGGTTTGCGACAGGACGTGGACGGGCGCCGGATACCACGGGATACTAGGGCTCCCGCGATCAGACAACAGAGGTGGTAAACTCACCCTCACTGGTGGTCTTCAAGCAGCCGCTGAACAAACCCTTGTCAGGGACGCTCTAGGCCAGGGGTGTCAAACATGCGGCCCGGGGGGCCGATCAGGCCCCTGAAGGGCTTCTATGAGGCCCGCAGTGGAACTGGTTGTCTCCTGCTTCTTCTTCTGCTGCTGCTGCGTCATCGTAGCTTTGCAGCTAACAGATACACACCTGAACAGCATACTCAGATAACGCGGGGCCACATAACGCGGGGGGGAGGCATGGCTGTTCGGAGCAAAGTAAAGCGTGGTAGCCCCATCACACGGTCCCGCAAGTCTCCGCACTTAGGCTGTTAGCTGGTGATCACACAGTGATGCTGGAGTGTGGCAAAGAAGCGGCGCGGCAAGCGTTTCCATTTGTGCGCATGCACAGTTCCATGGAGCAGCACTGCTTTCAGTTACGTGTCTGTGCGCATGTGCTTACGAAAAACATCCGGTTTGCGACGAGATGTGGACGGGCGCCGGATGCCACGGGATACTAGCACTCCCGCAATCAGACGCCCACCCCTACCCCGCGTTTTCCAAATACTAGTGCACTTTCCTTGGTACTTTTTTCCTGTGCATCTTCGGCGGGATGCCACGGGTTGGCCACGGGTGCGCTACACTTCCCAGATGTTGCGGTGTGATCGCGCCCCGAAAATCCGCCCAACATTCGTGCCTTTCGCACAGCAAATCCTCCGTGTGACCGAGGCCCTTAATTTGTTTTTTCTGGATATTTTTATTCCATCTTGTTTGAGGGCTGTTACTGGAACCTGAACATAGATTTAGGTGAGATCTCCCACTTTTACAACTGATTTCCAGCTGACAGAGATCAGCTCTCCTGTAGAAAATGGTTGCTTTGAAGGGTTGACTCTATGGCATTGCACCAGGCCAAGGTCCCTCCCCTCCCCCTCCTGGACCCACCCCCAAAGTCTCCAGGTATTTTCCAACCCAGACCTGGCAACCCTATGTGTAAGCTGCCCAGAGCCCTGGTCAGGAGAGAAGGCAGCGTAAGAGTATTTATTTACCTGTCCTCTTTACTGAGCTGAGGTGGCTCAAGTGGTTAAGACGCTGAACTGCAGGCTGTCGAAGGTCAGTAGTTCAGCAGTTCGAGACCTGAGTGTGCCGCATGACGGAGTGAGCTCTCGTCTCTAGTTCCAGCTCCTGCCAACCCAGCAGTTCGAAAGCAAGAAATTGCAAGTAGATAAATAGGTACCACTTTGGTGGGAAGGCAACAGCATTCCGTGTGCCTCGGTGTTTAGTCATGCCGGCCACATGACCACGGAAACGTCTTCGGACAGCACTGGCTCTTCGGCTTGGAAACGGAGATGAGCACCACAACCCTAGAGTCGGATTCGACTGGCTTTCGAGCAAGGGAGACCTTTCCCTTTACCTTTACCTCTTTACTGAACCCGGACTTGTGTTGAACAGAGATTCAGGTCAAGAAAACACGTTCCTGTTCTTCTCTTTCTCTTTAAATCGCCATTCCAGCTCGGTCAGGAGGAGTCACCTCAGAGGAAGAACAAGAGATGTTGTCTGCCTGCCAAGATTTACAGTCTGAATTTCCCAGTGTTCTGTTCAGGGCATCATCAAGAATGGCCAAGGTGACGGTCCTCCACTTTGGGAGAGTTTGGGGAATATCTCTGCACTATCCTTGTTCCGTTCCAAACCTGCTGGAAGTGAATTGGCAGGATGATCATCTTGTTTCCCAGGGGATTCTTCACTGGGGTTGCATCAAGGGGGACAATATTGTCCTCAAAGGGGAGGGGGCTATGAGAATCAAATAATAACATTAGAGCCCTGCTGGATCGGACCAATAGTCCATCTAGTCCAGCATCCTGTCTCACACAGCGGCCAACCCATTCCTCTGGAGAGCCAACAACAGGGCAGAGAGGCCAAGGCCTTCATAAGAACATAAGAAGAGGGCGAGTTTGGTGTAGTGGTTAAGTGCGCGGACTCTAATCTGGGAGAACCGGGTTTGATTCCCCACTCCTCCACTTGCAGCTGCTGGTGTGACCTTGGGCAAGCCATAGTTCTGTCAGAGCTGTTCTTGAAAAGAGCAGTTTCTGTCAGAGCTCCCTCAGCCCCACCTACCCTGTATCTGTGGTGGGGAGGGGAAGGGAAAGGAGATTGTAAGCCACACTGAGACTCCTTTGAGTAGTGAAGGGCAGGGTATAAATCCAATCTCTTCTTCTTCTCCTGCTGGATCAGACCAGTGGTCCTTCTAGTCCGGCATCCTATCTCACACAGTGGCTAAACTGTATAGTGATTGCGCTTAAGAAGTTTTTTAACAACAATTATATACTCATAATACAAAAAGTGCATACAATATAACATGAACTATATAACTATGTGATAAAAATGTTGTTTGTTGTGAACGATGCTCTCTGGAATATTTTACCGTTTCGACAAATTTCTTCTTCTGAATGAAGATGAAGATTAGGTGCAGGACATGTAAGGTCTCTGGTCAGTTTTTCAACTGGTAATGACCATGATTTTTCACTGTAGTGTCATGACATTATTGGAACATTATTGGAACAAATGTTTACAGTAGTTCACAGTGGGCATTCCAGGATACATAAAGAACAATAATCTGCCTGGGGAAATTGTAGTAAGATTCTGTCCGATTCCCCATTCATTCAAAGTAAATCCACGTTTGATGAACAAAATAGAATTTATTAAAAGAGATGGTTAGATCAGGAACACAATAATTGTTAGTAATGACTACAAAAGTCCAAGGGCAACATAATAAAGGAACTTGAACCGAGACAGGACCAATGAGCCCAATTCCCGCTGGCGGGAGTGTGATAAGTCTTAGCGCCTTTTCCTTGGGAACACAACGGTTCATACTACATAAACACCATTTCAGTTCTCAGGCCTCAGAATACAAAATAAAGAGAGCAAGCCATAACTCCTTCCCACCACCAGCTGGTTAACCTTGAGCAGTTCCGCGGATGTGCTAGCAACAGAAAGTAAACACCTACACAAGAGGCAACAGGAGGGGGGGGTGAACCGAGTACACTATACCATGCAGAATAAAACATACAATATAATGGCAGCTTGCTGACAGATTCTCGAAGAGGCACGTCAGGGATGCTATCCTGAAAACAGTCGCTGCGACACCCCTGAAGGTGGGGGAGAATGCTGTCAGAACGCTAAAGGATATTCCATTTGAAGTAAGACAACGCAGAAAGAAATACAAAGAACTTGTGTTTTTCCTCCAAACAAACTCAATTGGATATAAATGGCTGTTTCCAGAAGGAGTAATATTCAAGATCAAGGAGAAGAAGGTCAAGATTGACTCTGTTCTGCGGAAGAGAGAGACGAAGAAGTAAAGGCTGAAGGACTCTGAATTGTTCCTTTGAGAACTTTTGTTTCTAGGGGATGATGGGGGGCACTGTTATTGGGCAATTAAATGTAACTGGGGATGGTTAAAAGGGTTAAAAGATTGACACAGTTCATAAGAAGTACAAAGATGAAAAGTCTGAATGAAGTATAAAAAGCTAGTTGGAGATCTCCTCTCTTGGGTTTTTAGTTAGTAGTGGGTTCTTTACTTTCTCCCTTATATGTAGCTTTCCCTTTCCCTTTTTTCTGTTCTAGTTTTTGTAGTGTTTAAAAAATCAATAAAAAATCTCCTCCGGGGGCTTAAAAAGAAAAAAGAAAAACTGACCAGAGACATTACATGTTTTGAACCTAATCTTCATCTTTGTTTGGAAGAAGAAATTTGTCGAAACGGTAGAATATTCCAGAGATCATCGTTCACAACAACCAACATTTTTATCACATAGTTGTATTGTTCATGTTATATTGTATGCACTTTTTGTATTATGAGTATATAATTGTTGTTAAAAAACTTCTTAAGCACAATCACTACACAGTTTTCCATTTGTCTAGTGGTTTTTCTGGATTAACTAAGTAACTGTGACCATCATTTTGAGCTAGTTCACACAGTGGCTAACCAGTTCGCCTGGAGGGCCAACAATAGGGCGTAGTGGCCGAGGCCTTCCCCTGAGGTTGCCTCCTGGCTCTGGGATTCAGAGTCTTTAGTGCCTCTGAGTGTGGAGGTTCCCCTCAGTCACCGTGGCTAGTAGCCATTGACAGACTTATCCTCCATGAATCAATCTAATCTTTTAAAAGCTGCTCATTCCTGTGTCCATCATGACATCCTCTGGCACCGATTTCCACATTTTAGTCACACGCTGTGCAAAGTAGAATCTCCTTTTGTCCATCCTCAACCTACTACCCATCAGCTTCATCGGACGCCTTCATTGGATGCCCCTGAGCTCTAGTAGATATATCTGGTCGATATAAGGACAAAACGTAATCCTTCTCCCCCAGGGGTCCTCAACATGGTGCCTGTGGGTGGCTACCTGGTGCCCGCCAAATGTTTTCAGAACGTTGGTGGAGCCAGGCAATAGCTTTTGCCCAGCTCAGCTTCTGATAGGCCGTTGGAGATCTGATTGGCCATGCAGATTAAAGTAACGTTGGCTTTAGTCTGTCTCTCGCTCCTCTTTCCCAGCACGTTTTTGAAAGTACCCCTCTTCTCCTCTGCTCTTGGACTTCCTCTGGGGGGGTTGTATGGCTCCGCCTTCCGCAGCTGCCATATTGTGGTTAGCTCCGCCTCTCGTGGCAGCCATTTTGCGGTTGGCCCCGCCCCTCCAGCAGTCGTTTCATAGTCGTCTCTGCCATTTTGTGCTGGTTGCCCTCCCCATCTGCTCTCCAAGTGCCCACACGGTCAACCAGGCTGGGGGACCCTGGTACACACGACTCAAAAGGGGATTTGGTGTCCAGGTTCAAGGCACTGGAGCCAGTGATAACCAGCGAGTGTCTCCTTCTCTGCTGAGAACCCTGAGTTCAGTTCTTCAGGTACAAGCTCTCCCTCCTCTGTGAGGGAGATTTGTTGAACACATTGCCAAACGTTGATGTATAGGGCTGGAGATCTCCCTGGATGACGACTGATCTCCCGACAACAGAGATCAGTTCCCATGGAGAAAACGGCACATTTGAAGGGTGGAGTCTATGGCATTGTGACCCACCTTCCCTAGGTTCCACCCCCAAATCTCCAGGAATTCCCCAGTGCAGAGCCGGTAACCCTATATGATGCGGTATCGTAACAGTTTTGGAGCCCCCCCTTAACTGACAGCTTGTTTACAGGTGGTCAGTGCCTACTTCCCACCAGACCAAGCCCTGGATTTCATCGAGGCCATCCTGGAGGAGCTGGTGTCCGGAAACGAAATGTGCGCCGTCGCAGCTGGGTCTTGGTTGCTCACGATCCTGCAAGACTGTGGTGGGGCTATGGAAGCACAGGTTAGAGCGGTGGGCTTTGAGTCGGCCCCTCCAAACAAAGTATTCAGAATGCACGGATAGATACAGGCCACTAAGAAAACAAATGCAGTCGTGTAGTAGTAGTAGTAGTAGTAGTAGTAGTAGTAGTAGTAGTAGTAGTAGTAGTAGTAGTAGTAGTAGTAGTATATTGAAAAGTTATTGTTTTCATTGTAAACCACCTCGAGCAGGACTTTGATGAGGCAGCATAGAAATCTCTTAAATAATTACCACTACTAATGGCTCTTTTTGTAGCAGGAACTCCTTTGCATCTTAGGCGACACACCCCTAATGTAGCCAATCCTCCAAGAGCTTACAGAGCTCTTCTTACAGGAGCTACTGTAAGCTCTTGGAGGATTGGCTACATTAGGGGGGGTGTCGCTTAATATGCAAAGGAGCTCCTGCTATAAAAAGAGCCCTGCATAGTACTACTACTAGTAGTAATATATTGAAAACTTACTGTTTTCATTGTAAACCATCTCGAGCAGGACTCTGATGAGGCAGCGTAGAAATCTCTTAAATAATTACCACTACTTGTAGAAGAAGAAGTAGTAGTACTACTACTAGTAGTATATCGAAAACTTGCTGTTTTAATTGTACACCACCTCAAACAGGACTCTGATGAGGCAGCATAGAAATTTCTTAAATAATTACCACTACTTGTAGAAGAAGATGTAGTAGTGGTAGTAGTAGTAGTAGTCGTCGTCTATTGAAAAGTTATTATTTTCATTGTAAACCACCTCGAGCAGGACTCTGATGAGGCAGCGTAGAAATCTCTTAAATAATTACCACTACTTTTGAATAAGAAGAAGTAGTATTAGTAGTATATCGAAAACTTGCTTTTAATTGTAAACAACCTCAAGCAGAACTCTGATGAGGCAGCATAGAATTGAAATCTCCTAAATAATGACGACGACTACTACTAGTAGTATATTGAAAACTTATTATTTTAATTGCAAGCCACCTCAAGCAGGCCTGTGATGAGACAGCACAGAAATCTCTTAAATAAAGTAGTAGTTGTATCTGATCTCGGTTCAGGAAACAGTCTGTAAATGATACTCTTTGGGGCTGTTTCTCTAAGCCATGTCTATGTACAGAGCCAGCTGCCTACACAGTGTTTATCGTAGCCTCCCAAATTGCTTGGATCTTTTTTCTTTCCTCTTGGCACAAACATTAAGTACGTTTTCGTGCACAGCAGGGACCTCCCTGTGAAGTGGGATAAACGTTTCCAAAAATCTCCTTTTATGTGCAAGGGACGAATCTGCAAATTTTATTTCTTTAATCTGCTTATTATCTATAATTATATATTGACTCTCTCTCCCTCGGGTGGGGAGTCATATGTAATTTGAGTCTTAATCCCTCCCTAGGGCATAATGCAGTTTACAATATGGCAAAAAGCTGGTTTGGGAGGCCAAATTACATCCTACGTTCCTGTCCCTGTTTTCGTTTCTTTTGCAAATGAAACCAGGGTGCTTCCTTTGGAAGAGAGAAGAATGGGGAAAGAGGAAGGACTCTTAAGAATATCTTTGACCTACTTGCTGTTTTCATCTTCCTTTTGATACAAATAAATTGCCCCAGCTCCGTTAAAAACAAAAATGTCAGCGGCAGCACCAGGTCACTTCTAGAGAAAACCCGAAAGTGACAAGGGGTTGTTCTAGGAATCCATGGAAGCTCTATGTTAAAACCATAAAATATCCAATGATTCCTAGAGCTACCCTTCCAGGTTTTCCCTGAAAAGATGTAACAGTGTTGCTGACATCACACACAAGACCATGGTCCCTGCCCTAAACCCTTTCACCAGTAGAAGAGGAGGAGGAGGAGGAGATTGGATTTATACCGTGCCCTTCACTACCCGAAGGAGTCTCAGAGCAGCTCATAATCCCTGGAGATCCAGTTTGGTGTAGTGGTTAAGTGCGTGGACTCTAATCTGGGAGAACCGGATTTGATTTCCCACTCCTCCACTTGCACCTGCCAATGTGACCTTGGGTCAGTCACAAGCTCTGGCACAGCTGTCCTTGAAAAAGAGCAGTTTCTGTCAAGAGTTCTCTCAGCCCCACCCACCTCACAGGGTGTCTGTTGTGGGGAGGGGAAGGGAAAGGAGTTTGTAAGCTGCTCTGAGACTCCAAGTGAAGGGTGGGGTATAAATCCAATCTCTTCTTCTTCTTCTTCTTCTTCCCCTCCCCACAACAGACACCCTGTGAGGTAGGTGGGGCTGAGAGAGCTCTTTCAAGGATTGCTTGTGAGAGAACAGCTGTGAAAGAACTTGTGACTGACCCAAGGTCACCCAGCTGGCTGCATGTGGAGGCGTGGGGGGAATCAAACCCGGTTCTCCCAGATTAGAGTCCGCACTCTTAACCACTACACCAAAACAGAGCTTTTGCTATCTCTCCCCCCCCCCCCATTTCTCCCTGCGACTTGACCCATTTCACACTAGGGTTTTAATTGGATTCAGAAATTAAGAGCATCCATTGTGGGTGTTTGTTGAAGGTTTGTTTATTTATTTAAATTTATACCCCGCCCTCCCCACGAAGGCAGGCTCAGGGTGGCTTACAATTAAAATTTAAAAACAGATTAAAACCATAAAACAATTCTAATGTGCTATGTACGAATCATTACATATTACATATATGGCGATGAAACATAGGTTTTAGATTTTTATCCATACGGAACTCCTTTTTTTTAAAAAAAAAAAAGCCCCCATGGGGGATTTTTTTATTGATTTTTATCCACTACAGAAAACTACAACAGAAAAAGGGTGGGGGAAAGCTACAAATACGGGAGAAAGTAAAGAACCCACTACTAGCTAAAAACCCAAGAGAGGAGATCCTCCAACTAGCTTAGATACATTGTCTTCTCATCGTTGATCCCTTTATAAACTGAGTCAAACATTTATAGCCCTTTTCCCTTAAAGCTTAAATTTAACTGTCTAGTAACAGTACCCCCAATCATCCCAAAACCAAAAGTCTCAAGGGCGGGGCTTCGGACGCGATCGCGACGGGAGCACATTGAGCGATCTCCCGGGCTCCCCGGCCTTTCCACCCGTCCAAACGTCGAAATTTGTGCAACCCTCTGGCAACTAAAACGTTGAACGGTCAAGAGAAGACTCCTGGAACCTATTCGCAACCACCTTCGTTCCTGTAAGTAAAGTTTCAAAGCAAAAATATCGGGCAAAAAATTGGGCCGTGAATCCCAAAATGGCGACCGGCACTGACTCGAACTCCCCGGTTACTGCTCCGATCACCAAACAAGACCTTCTAGACAGTTTCCAACTATTAAAAAACGAGATTAAAGCAGAAATCCACGATTCAATCAATTCAGCCTTGAAACCGATAACAGACCAAATCGAAGCTCTGCAAAGCTCCATACAAAATGTCGCTTTAACAGCTGATGCCGCTCTCGAGGCTACCACAGCTACAAACGACGACATACGAGACCTCCAAGAGGCGGAAAGCTGGTCTCGAGAACGTATATTATATTTGGAGCACAGAGCAAGAGAAAAACTGGCAAAATTTAGGGGATTTCCTGAAAACGCGGAAAAGGAGGAGAATCCTATTACTTTCCTATCCCGTTGGATGCAGACCACGTTCGCGCTGGAAACAGATGACACACCCAAACTAATAAGAGCCTACAGAGTGGGGCTGAAACAAGCCAAAGAACGCAAAGGACCAAGAGACTTCCTGGCTGAATTTGACAATATCACCCAAAAATTCAACATCCTTAAACTAGCCAAGACAGCCTCCAATATGGAATTCAACGGAGCCCACATAGCTATATTTCCCGATGTGGCGCCTGAAGCTCTAACAATACGAAGATCCCTAAAGAAAATCACACTACGCCTTAATGAAGCAAACATAAAATATCGGTGGCTCCCAACAGGAGCACTCCAAGTTCGAAAAAATGGTTCCACGCATCAAGCATTCAACTTAGACGAAGGAGAGAGTATGCTATTGGCACTGGGCCTTAATCCCGTCGTAGAAATGGAAACGGAGCACTGAATTTGACAATATCACCCAAAAATTCAACATCCTTAAACTAGCCAAGACAGCCTCCAATATGGAATTCAACGGAGCCCACATAGCTATATTTCCCGATGTGGCACCTGAAGCTCTAACAATACGAAGATCCCTAAAGAAAATCACACTACGTCTTAATGAAGCAAACATAAAATATCGGTGGCTCCCAACAGGAGCACTCCAAGTTCGAAAAAATGGTTCCACGCATCAAGCATTCAACTTAGACGAAGGAGAGAGTATGCTATTGGCACTGGGCCTTAATCCCGTCGTAGAAATGGAAACGGAGCAGCTGGCATCGAGAAAGAGATCCAGACAATCAACGCCACCGAAGTGGAGCAGACTCCAGACAAGACGCAGAATAGCCTACGAACATTAAAAACTTGATTCTTGAAATACGGGTAAAGAAGTCATACTCTTTGTGTTAAATTAATACTGTGAAGCTATGATTGCACGGTGATAAAACCACCGAAACCATAACAAACAAAAATAAGATGGTTCGCATTATTCCAATCTATTGACGGGGAGGGGGGCGCGGGGAGGGCCCGAAGGTCACCCACAGCCTCTGGGAATGTTTATAAAATTATGGTTGATGTATGTAAGTTGGTTAGCTGCAACTCTGGTTCATAAGCCCCTATGGCTTGGGGATGAGCAAAGGCTCATCCTCCCAGACCGCAGCGGGAGGGTTGGGGGGAGGGGGGGTGGGCTGAGGGCTGAAGGTTTAAATTTATATATAGGGAAACATATCGTTAAAACAATGTTAAAGCTTTGGATAGGTAATACATTCATTCAAAGGTGGTTTATTAATGTTATACAATTTCATATGTTGAATCTGCTAATTACATTATCGAACTCAATGTTTTTCTCACTAGAACCTTTGGAGTTTGAAATGAAAACTGTTCACATCCCTATGTTATTAGTCATGGGCTTGGGGGAGGGGGGTAGGAGGGGAGTTTACTGGGGTCTATTTCATCATATATTTCTTGTGACAATTTCAGAACAGATTTTATTATTGTTAAGGAACATTAAAACTTTAATGGTGTTAATACTAAAAATGTTTGGTTATATTTGGAAGTCAGCTGCAACAGAGGGTTATAGAAAGCCTTTCAGTAGAACATGGCTCCTACCTAATGTAATACTAGACGAGGCGCAGGGCATTAATACATTAATGAAGCACAAAACTCAATACAAAATAAAACGCAACCAGACAAATCACTCCGAAAAAGACATTTTATTATGGAAGAAATAAAGGCATTAACCCTAAATTGTAGGGGAATGAACAACAAAATCAAAGCTAGAAGGATAACTAAAGACCTACAGCACCAAGGAGTTAACATCATCTTTCTTCAAGAAACTTTTTTAAAAACAGGAGAAAAAGTGCTATCCTCAAACTACTATACCTCTCAATACATAGCACACGGCACATCGAAAGCACGTGCAGTAGCCATTCTTATTGCTGCCAACTTGAACTTCAAACTGGACGCTCTAGAGAAGGATGAAGAAGGCAGATACATTTTTGTTAAGGGTTCCATCAACCAACAAATGATCACCCTTGCCTCAATCTATACCCCGAACTCCAATCAATGCAAATTTATAAACAACACAATGAAGGAACTGGACAAATTCCACAATGGCCCAGTTTTAATAGGTGGGGACTTGAATTATTTAATGAACAAACATCTAGACAAAGCCCCTTCATTTAAACCGAAAACTCCTGTCAGGAAGAACCAATTATCAATAATTTTGGAACGTTTCAACCTGTTCGACATTTGGAGAATTAAAAATAACACCATGAGGGACTACACATACTATTCTCCCCGCTACAAATCCCATTCAAGGATAGATTACATCCTAGGCTCCAAATACTTTGTAGATTGTGCCATCTCAGCGGACATCGGAATTAAGAAATGGTCAGACCATGCCCCGGTGTTATGTAAATTTAGGCTTCAAAAGTTGGAGGAGAGGAAAAGATTTTGGAAATTTAATAAACTTTTATTATACGATACTGCTTCACAACAAGCTCTACGACATGAGATTACCAACTATTTTGAAAGCAACATACGGGAAGATGTTAATACTCTTACCATTTGGGATGCCTCAAAGGCTGTCATACGAGGCCAATGTATCTCTCTACTATCGGCCTGTAGAAAAGAGAAAGCAAAAATCAAAAAAGAACTGGCAGACCAGATTAAACTCCTAGAAGGAGAACATAAAAGAACATGCAGTAAAAAAACTTACCGTAAAATCTTGGAAATCAGAAAACAACTTGAAGCGATGGAAACGACAGAAATACTTAAAGAAAACTTTAACTACCGCAAAAAATATCAAACTAACAACTCGAAACATTTAAGATTACTGGCATGGAGACTAAAGAAAAAGAAAACTGACCGTCATATCGGCTGTATAAAAGATCACCACAACCAGCTACAACATGACTCTAAAAAAATAATTGAATCGATACAATTTTTTTATGAAACTTTGTATACAACACAAAACCCAAATCCAACCCACATAAAAGATTACTTAAAATCTATACCAAACCTTCCTAAACTAACAGAAGAACACAGTCAATTTATGGAGGAACCCATTACAACACATGAAATCGAGCAAGTTATAAAGAAGCTCAAGAATAACAAAGCCCCAGGCCCAGACGGCTTTACCTCTGAGTACTATAAGGTTTTCCAACAACAACTAATAAATCCACTTCTGGACACATGCAATCATATTAGAATCACTGGTCAGATGCCTTCAACCTGGCAGCTCGCAAATGTTATTTTAATCCCGAAGAAAGACAAAGATAGATCCGACCCCAAGTCATACAGACCGATCTCACTGTTAAACGTCGACTACAAAATATTCACAGCGATCATGGCGTCTCGCCTACAACATATCATCACCAACTATGTAAACAAAGACCAGACGGGCTTCATACCTTCCAGAGACATCGCGGACAACATTCGGAGAACTATTAACATAATTCAACATTGCAAACTCATCTCAACACAAAGCTCGTTACTAATGGCGATTGATATAGAGAAGGCGTTTGACTCTCTAGAAATCCAATTTTTAAAAACACTCATTGATACAATGAACTTTGGCCCCACGTTCCAAAACTCAATAAACGCAATTTACAAAAAACCCAAGGTGAGACTTTTAATAAATGGAGACCATTCACAAGAGATTACACTTTTCAGAGGCACAAGACAGGGGTGTCCCCTATCACCTATCTTATTTGTTCTCGCCTTGGAACCTCTAGCATG